TGGGAGACATTATGGCAGACACTGAGACACTAAGGGACATTGGGAGACATTATGGCAGACAATGCTACACTAAGGGACATTGGGAGACATTATGGCAGACACTGAGACACTAAGGGACACTGGGAGACATTATGGCAGACACTGAGATACTAAGGGACATTGGGAGACATTATGGCAGACACTGAGACACTTAGGGACATTGGGAAACATGGCAGACAATGAGACACTAAGGGACATTGGGAGACATTATGGCAGACACTGAGACACTAAGAGACACTGGGAGACATTATGGCAGACACAGAGACACTAAGGGACATTGGGAGACATTATGGCAGACACTGAGACACTAAGGGACATTGGGAGACATTATGGCAGACACTGAGACACTAAGGGACATTGGGAGACATTATGGCAGACAATGAGACACTAAGGGACATTGGGAGACATTATGGCAGACAATGAGACACTAAGGGACACTGGGAGACATTATGACACTGAGACACTAAGGGACACTGGGAGACATTATGGCAGACACTGAGGGACACTGGGAGACATTATGGCAGACACTGAGACACTAAGGGACATTGGGAGACATTATGGCAGACACTGAGACACTAAGGGACATTGGGAGACATTATGACAGACATATGGGGACACAGTGTCCCCACAGTGTCCCCATGTCTCCCAGCCAGTGTCCCTGGTGTCTAGGTGCCCCCTAGTCTCCCAGTGCCCCCAGTCTGCCAGTGTCTCACTGTCCCCATGTCTCCTAGTGCCTCCATGTCTCCCAGTGCCTCAAGTGTCTCAATGTCACCATGTCTCCAAGCTAGTGTCCCTAGTGTCTGTGGCCCTGGTGTCCCCTTGTCCCTGTGTCTCCCAGTGCCCCCATGTCTCAATGTCCCCATGTCCCCCAGCCAGTGTCTATAGTGTCTGTGTCCCTGGTGTCTATGTCCCTATGTCTTCAAGTGTCCCCTATTTTCCCAGTGCCCCCATGTGTCCCAGCTAGAGTCCCCTAGTCTCCCAGTGTCACTGGTGTCTCCATGTCCCTAGGTCTCCCTGTGTCCCCAGGTCTTCCCGTCTTCCTAGTGACATGGGGACCCTGGGATACATGGGGACACTGAGACACTGTGATACATAGGATCACTGGGAGACCTGGGGACACGACACTAGGGGACACTGGGAGACATGGGGCACTGAGACACTGATACATAGGAACACTGAGACCTTGAGTAATCTACACATGGGGGCACTGGGAGACATGGGGCCACTGGGAGGAATCCATCTATACAGCAGAATCAAACTAAGTAGTTTTTTGGTGATTTTACAGCATTTTCTCTTATGTCACTCCTTGTGATATACATCATGTGATGTCACCCATACATATTTAATTATGCAAATTAGCAAGGCTGGTATGTTTTTCCAAGAAAGGTGGCAACCCTATCTACTTTTCACATACTCTTACTTAAGTATGGAAACTTAAGAGGGATGTATGGGAACAAAACTTGTGTGGACTGGCTGACAATGAATATAGTTAAAGGGACACTAGAGTCACCAGAAGAACTACAGCTTATTGAATTTGTTCTGGTGAGTAGAATCATTACCGTCAGGCTTTTTGCTGTAAACACTGTCTATTCAGGGAAAAGGCAGTCTTTACATTACAGCCTAGTGATAACTTCACTGGCCACTCCTTAGATGGCTGTTAGAGATCCTTCCTGGGTCATGGCTGCCTAAAATGCATCCAAACATTCAGTGTCTTCTCCCTCTGCATGCAGACACTGATCTTTCCTCATAGAAATTCATTGATTCAATTCATCTCTATGAGGAGATGCTGATTGGCCAGGGCTGTGTTTGAATCATGCTGGCTCTGCCCCTGATCTGCCTGTTTGTCAGTCTCAGCCAATCCTATGGGGAAGCACTGTGATTGGATTAGGCCATCACTTCTAATGATGTAAGCAGACTGCTTGTTTTTCTGAGTCTAACAGCATGCAGAGTTACAGCTTCAGGCTTGAATACAGTAAGATTTCGCTATATTTATGGAGGCATGAGGGGCCCAGGGGGGCTAGATGGTGGTGTTAACACTATAGGGTCATGAATTCATATTTGTGTTCCTGACCCTATAGTGATCCTTTAAGGTAATGCTGACTTTGGCACACCCTTTTACCCCACCCATTGACTTCCTGCTTGACTGGACACTGCTGTTAGGGGTTATGGATTTACTTAAAAGATGAAAACATAAATTAGAGAGAGATTAGCCTAGTTGTGTTTTATTATAGCTGCTGTTTTCTTTCTCTCCAGCACCATCTCCATCAGATACATGACGCTTGGGAGTGTTTTACTGTTTTTGGTCGATATGATTCTGTAATTAGGCCCGTCATAATTGTCAGCACCAGGCCCACTGGGCTCTTAATCTGGCCCTGGCCCCAACAAGAACATGTGCCCCAAAGAGCTTTGTGTGGCATAACAGTCAAGATAGAGGGAGTACAGAGGACTATAACCTCTACATCTTTAAAAATATGAAAAAGATAGATAGGCACCTCATGACCTGTGGTGTTTTGGGTGATCATTCTAGAGTGGGCATTCAAAAGAGCCAGTGCAGGTTTTCACAAAAATCTCAAATATGAATCAATCAATGTCCATTTGATTACATTGGACAGGAAACAGTATAACAAGGCAACCATATGGTCAGTTAGGACAATGAAGTGGAGGTTCATCCTTAGGGGCAATTGTGGCAGTGCCCAACAGTTTTTATGTGGGGAAAAGTTATTTGCAGTAGTTTAGAATCACAGATTCTTTTTCTGGAGGGGAGGGTGGTAAGCCTATTATGGTAAGGTGGTTCTGCAGGGTTCCTCTCCCTCATTGGTATCTGTTTGGAGCAACTCCAAATCTGCCCCATTTCAGCAGGTTGTGCACTTGCCTAGTCTCCTTTAAGAAGGAATTCCCATGGAATTGCCATTCAGGCAGGAGAGCCAGCTGCCCATGAGAGGAGGCATGCTATTAACCTCTCTATTCAGGGACCATCATTGGCTCATAGCATCAGGAGATGGGGTTACAGTGCCCACAGGAGAGTGAAGCAAGAAGCCATCTTGGAAGTAACACAGAGAGAGCACAACAGCAGCAGCTCCTGACTCCTGCCAAATGTAAGTGTATAATATTATCTTTTCCTCTCTCCCAATAAATCCAGTGACTGTTTGAGAGTTGATTTACTCAAATACATAATTAATATATATACAGTCAGGGAAACCCAGGAGTGACAATAGGAGGGGAACATTTATGATACACAGCACTGTACTGCCTGTCACTAATACTTATTATAACTCATATTGCACATACTTACCGTTATAATTAAAGTGCTCAGTCCCTCTACATATGAAACCTGAGATACTCATGCTGTGGCTAGTTGAAAAGATGTGAAGCTTCAAACTTCAGGACTCGGGCTGTGACTCTGAGGACTGATCTGATTCTTACTTCAATCTGTTTTACTCTGTAATGATTGTTGATTCTGTTAATCATGTCAGCTAGTTCTTGGCTCTATATTACCACTGCAGATTACTTACAATGTCAGCTGCAAAGGTAATAACGAGTCCATCATTATCCTGCTGATTTACCTTGTGAACACTATGTACTGAGTGCTAATGGAATAGCTGATATGTTTTGTAACAGCAACCATAGAAACATAGAATGTGATGGCACATAAGAACCCGTCAGCCTATCTAGTCTGCCCATATTTATAGAAAGCTAAAGTTAGCTAGTAGGAGCACTGCTGAAGATCAGATCATGAGAGTGAGTGTTATGAGAGGGCTAGGAAGATCACAGTGATCCCGGCTGTGTGGGATAGTTATGAGTATCTCATTAGTGTGCCCAGCTTGGTGTTATTTCTCTGTATTTTACTCAGCTCCTCTCTGTGGTCTACCCTAATTAGTTAATTTTATCGACATTGTTGTATTGTGTCCAGCTCTGTGTATTACACCTCTGTTTCTCCTCAGCTCTGTTTGTGGTATGGTAAACTCTGTATTGTACTCTGCTCCATGTATTTTATAGATATCTGTTTTTTTTTTATTATTTTTATTATGCTCATATCGTTGTATTGCATTATGATCTAGCACAACTTTAGTAGTGTAATATGTCCTATTGGCGTCACTGGGGCTCTTCTGACATCACTGGGGCCATGCACAGTCCAAGAAGCCTGTAACTGGACCAGTTTGCCGGCTCAGAGTGCATGAATGGCAAAGGGAATGGGATAAAAGGAGAGTTAAAAGAAAAAAAAGAAAGAAAATAAGCAAACGGAGGTAGTCAGGAGGGAGCATCGACAGGGAGGGATGAGAGAGGTAGCTCACCCTTTGAGGTGCTCTGTCTAGAAGGGGAAGATTTTAACGTCTGTTGTCAGCAGCCACTGGAGGTGTGTTTAGCTTTTGAAAGTACACATAGCTGTTTCTGATAAAGGGCAATGTTTTACCTTAAATGGTAATATGACAGAACCACTGCATCCAGGTCACGTAATATCAATAAAGTGGCTAGGGTGACTTTTGTGGTCCTTAATGTATGCATTTTGTTTTTTAAAATAATTATTTGCATTAAAACTGTAATTCACATCACCTAAGGTATGGAAACTTCAAAGAAATGTTACATTTGGGTGGAGATCTATCAAGGTAAAACAGGTGCTGTTGTGGGTGAAAAGTGCTAAATGTTGAGAGGTATTCTAGTGGTTTCCAAGGTTAATTTATCCTAGAAAGCTCTTTGCCTTAGAATATATATTTTTTTAATGTAATTTAATTTAACTATTCTATGAACAAAATTGATTATCCTTGTTACGTAACATCATTGTGAAATTACATCAATATGCTTAATGGTGAATATGAAGGGACAAGACCCGCACGCTACAATCAAAAAATACAATTTAAACCTTCACTTTTCATGAGTGCCCAGGTGCCATTCCCACAAATGAATTAATTCATTAATATCACAATCTGTGGTTATAAAGATAAGCTTTATTTCCATAATTTTGCCACTTTTCACCATAGAGTAACATGTACAGATTTTGATACATAGCCCTGATTTCTGGAATGTCATACTATGTACACAAAACACAACATATTTTCAATATATCATTAAGTGCTTGAAGTAAAAAAAGTGGATTTACAATGTATTTTTTTTTTTACATGAACAAATCTTAAATGTAGTTTGTTTGGTCTATACTGTATCCATAAGCCTAGGAAAAATAAAGTATGCAAAGCAAAAATAAAAAATAAAAATTCGCACAATTATAGTGAAAAAAATGAACCCCTTGAGGACCAACACTGGTTTACGTCATAATAAGAATCTGTTCTTTATAGTGTCTCTGCCACTTCTGTGTATTTCCTAAAGATGATCTTTGTGGCAAACCTAGCCACTTGGACAATAACAAGAGACTATGCCTTTAAGGGTTGCCAATAGGTCGGGCGAGATACGCGCTTCACACTTATGTAAATGTTCATGTATTTTCTGTATGGCCTGTACTGCTGTTTCAGTCGAATGCAAATGGCGGTTTTGTATGGGGTTTTTCTTTCGTTTCACGAACGGCACTTTAGAAAGCCGTTCGTGAACCGAACGCAATACCCCCTGATAGCCCACACACTTAGAGGCGTGTGGCGCTAGTTAACCGATTGCAACATTGTTGCAATCGGTTATTAGAGGCTCTCATGGGTGGCCGTCGTTCGACTACAGACCATGCGGCGGTGGGCCATCTTGGATCCTTTGTTCCTCAGCGGGTCCGTGTTGTCGAACGCATAGTATTACCAATAGCTATTCGACGGCACGAACACCGCTGAGCCTCCAGGACGTTCGGGAGTTTCAGGACCGTGTTCACTAAAAGTAATCGGTTCTTTTCGTATGTTTTGAAAGAAATGTGTTTTCTGTGCGGCGTTCGGTTATTTTAGCTGGGATCTGAGCGGCAATCTCACGAATGATGCGCCCAGACCCCAGCTATCTACCGAACGTCCATTCGTGTAAATCCACCGTGTATTTTAAAAGTTATAGATTTTTGTGTGAATTGCCGGTTCTGCTGCACGAGGGGATAATCCCCTTAACGGTGCATTCTGGGAGGATGATCCCTCTCGTGCAGCAGTGCCTGATGGGAGAAATATGTTGTACTGTAAGTCCCCCATGTAGTCCCCTCTGGGAGTGCCCCTTGCATGGGGATTTGTATAAATTGTCTTGCCGATTAAAAGGATTTCAGTTGACTCCCAAAACTGTGTTTCGTCCGGTTATTGGGAGGTTGGGGATATTGCCTTGTTGTTTTCAGCGCTTGACTGTGGATTCGTTTCTGGACCAGCGGAATTCGTGGATTTATTATTGGCGTTCCGCTACAATCTTTTTGAAATATTCATACTAACTTTGTTGGAACTTCCTTGAAATTCCAACGCAATCCATAGATACCATAAGACAAATTGGGGAATTCTCTGTCTTTTTGGACAAACCTGAGTAGGACAAAAGGTATTCAAAAGTAGAATAATCCATTCAGTTGATTATATGACTGTACAGAGCTACTACAGATAACTAGGCATGGTCCTCTGTGCTGCTATAAGTTCTCCAAAGACAAGACTGTGCCATCCACAAAGAGGAACATTTGGTCCTTAAGGGCTTGGTGTCTAGTCTTGTTAGATTGCAGTAAACTCTAATTTTCCGCAAGCCAATCGGTGGCCAGAAACCTAAGTTGAAGATGAAAATGTACATATCTGCTATAAGCATTCTCAAATGTATGATATTTTATAGAGCATTCATTAACCTTCTTGTGACAATAAATTACCCTTTATAGAAGTCATTCCTGACATCATTTGTCGAGAAAGGGTTAATAAAATGTAAAGACATATACATAATAAAGTGGCACATACATCTAATTCACGTTACCAAACTGATGTTATGTTAGCTGTGCAAAAGTAAAAGTACTGGCTTCACACAGCAAGTTATATGTTATATAGAGAGAAATAATATTTTACAAGTATTACACAAATATTATTTTAAAATTAATTTCCACAAATAAAAAGTAGCACAATATATCCGTAAATTTAAAAAAACTAAAAACTGAAACAACATATTAAAGTAAACAGTTCAGCACAAAATAAAAAAATATTATACTGAACAACTATACAAATAATGCAATTTTCAGCCATAAAGCAACATTTACTAGAGCTTGATAAAAGAAAACACTCAGATCATAAACCAAATATACGTATAAATACATACAAAACAAGCACAGTGTCTGTATCCCAGCTACACGTGCAGAATGTCGCGTTGTGCATATGTTTAGTTATTTCATGGCTGTCATGTCTCGGTAACTTAAAGAGATAAATATCATCGTAAGTGACTTTTCCCACATCCTTTCCCCTGTTCATCCAAATGAAGACAGATAAATGAAAAAATCAGCTACTTGAGAGTCAAAAAGGATTTTTGCCGTTTTGTAAATTGCGGCTTTTTTTGGTTCAGTGCCAGAAAAGGCAGTGAAAATTGTTATAATATACATATAAATAAATAAATGTATCTGTCTGTCTATCTATCTATCTAATCTATCTATCTCTATGTAGCAAGTTAACAATGTAAAGCTTTAAACTTAAGCCATAACCAATTTCATTTTTATTTTAAATTTTTTTATAAAGGGTAAAACAGTTCTTCACACAAATCACCTCACTCCCAGAACTGAGTATAATTATTTTTTATTATCATGTATTTTGCAAAATTAATTTTAGCCCATACATTTTTACTCATCTTTATTTAACTCTAGGAATGAACACTAGCCTGTACAGAAATCTATTTGACCACTAGAATCCAATAGCTCACTCCAAAGAGTAAAGGAGGTTTCAATTTGTCATATCATTCTTACAATCAGAGAGGAGGGACAAGCCACTGGACTGATTTAAATACCTTAATTTTAGAAATATATGATTTAAAGGTACACTATAGGCATCCAGACCACTTCATATCATTGATGAAGATGGGTGCAATAAAGACTGGGTATATAGTCCCTGTTATTTTAGCCCTTCAGCTACAAACATTGCAGTTTCAGAGAAACTGCAATGTTTATATTGCAAGGTTAATGTAAACACCCACTAGAGGCGCTTCCTTTCCTTTCACAGAGTTTGACTCGGTCAAATGATGCTAGACATTCTTACGCATTGCATGAGGATGTCCAGTGTCTTCTAAATCCCCATAGGAAAGTATTTATTTAATGTTTTCCTATGTGGAATGCCTAATGTGCATGTGGCATTAGGTTTCCCCCCATGGGCTGATGACAAAGGAGCCTGACCCAGATAAGTGTAAAAGGGTTATTAACCCTTTATTTGCCGCTGGGAATGGAGCCATGCTGGGAGGGGGCAGAGGGACACTATAGATTTAGGAATACCATTTTGTGTTCCTACAATATACAGTGTTCATTTAATTGTAATTACTATATGTGGGCATTATGCTCCATTGCAGAAATTATTTTTACATTCTGTTGCCATGTTTAGAAAGTTGTACTGCTAGTAATATCATCAGTGCCCTTCAAAATACCTATAAGAAGGCTATTTGATTTTTTTTTTTTAATCTACTTTGTAAAACCTACTGTATATGCAGAAAATGTAATGTTAATTTTGGACCCTTTGTAAGATATTCCAAGATCAAGGACACTGCATCCTGTCTAAAGCTTTTCATTACCCCAATGTTTTTTTTTATAGAGCCTTGACTTTGAGATAACCCACTTACAAAATTGTAGACGTTAAAAAAAAAAAAAAAAAGATAGCTCTCCTATTCTTCCAAGATAACTTAAAAGCGTGTGTACGTGATTGTTGTGTGTATTGTTTTTGTTTTTTTTGTTGTTTGTTTTTTATTAATGTAGTTTCTTTTTGACTAATACTTTCCAATAAAATGCATCTACTAATTTTAGGTGTACTAATATTATGTGTGCTTCACTATCATTTAATTGATTATTTAAAACCTGTTCACAGATATGTGCTCGTGATATACAGTTATACAGCTTCTATGTTCTGCTGAAGGACACATCAGATGGTAAACAAGTGTCATCGTAGGATATTTTTGTAGGTGACAAATATGTGTCCGTTACAGTAATATCTTCTAGCTCAGTACTAAAATGGTCAGGGCTTCCTCCATTGGATGACTCTTTAATAACGCTGTAATTGAGTGCCACGCCATAGTTAGCCGGTTTTTCCGTACTTTTCTTTTTGCACTTGCAAAGTTTTCTGAAAGCTGCGCGGAATTTCTGAGACATCAGATTGTAAATCACAGGGTTGATAGCGCTGTTCAGATATATGCAAATTCTGCAGAATAACACAAACCAATTTTCAAGGTACGGTTGAGACAGGAATGAGTTCACAACAACCAATGTCCGGTAGGGCATCCATAGGAAAGCAAATAATATTACGACCACTGCCAACATTTTTGTAACCTGCAGAAGGAAAAAAAAAGAATATTATATAACTATTTTAAAGAAACTAGACATATAAAATAAAATATAATTTAATAATGGTCAAATGTAAAACAGTGAACACTACATTTAATTTTTTTTCAAATACATTTATAATAAAATAGTTTTAGATAAAAACATTAAAGTGTTACATATCTATACATTTAGTCTTTATTTTGTTTATATAATAGCAATCTTCTTCAGGTAGTGACACAGTGGTCCTTAGAAATCCCAGTACACACAGAAATGGGTTTAAACTGGCAGGTAGAGTTTAAATCGCTCTATTTTTATTTTTTATTTTTGTGCAAGTGAGTACATACCATTTTCAAATGCCACAACAGTGTACACATATACACTCCCTCTGAACAGTGGCATGTTAAATCAAACATTGTTTTATGTTCAGGCTTAACATATCTAGCATGTCTCTGACGTGGGTAATCAAGATTAGGGAGGCATGTATACAATTCAATAGCAGAGTGGTTTAGGCAGGACATGTATTGAAAATTATTAGAATGCACTTGTAGAGTAAGGTAGGATGGTAAGAGTTATACCACGTGTAAAATCTAGACTTATGTATATAATTGCGCAGTTAATGCTAGTGCTTCTGTGCATATTCTAGGAGGAAAAAGGAAAGAAAAGGACAAATAGTATAACATGCTGTCTAAGAGAAACAGGCTTAAAGTGAAAACCACTGGGGCCAAGCAGACTGTGATATTACATGTCTGTGGGAGACCTGGCGGAGAGAAGTGTGTAGGGATAAGGTATGGCTACATGTTTCGTCCAAGAGTGTCAGTTTTTAGGTGGCATGTGTTGAGCTTCTGTCTCTTGTAAAACCCAGTCTGTGTCGGGCTGTGGATGTCTCTGTGCTTGTATAGAGTTTTCAGATGATGTTGCTTGGAACTTACAGTCAGTGGCAGGTCTATACAGCAGTTTGGCACGGTGCAAGATGATGAGGAACTACACACTCTTTCAGGTGTCACTGGTGTACCTTTGGGTAGTGGCAAAGCTTTTTTCTTTTATTTGCTTGACGGTCATCCGAGTTAAATTAATTGGCTGGAAATCTCTATTATGTGCTCAGATATCTTTCTGTCTCCTCCACCTCCTTCACTAGTCTTAACATTTGAGTCTCATAGGCCCCTGCACAAAATGCTTTGTTACATGCTTTGCAAGTCCGCTCAGTGGGCCATTGTTCCCCTCCGACTCTTATCCCTGCCAGGGGGGGTACATGTTGCGGGCAGAGGGTCCGGTGGCTATATTGGTCTCATTCTCCCTGGCTGGGGTCAGTGGTGGATTTGTCGCTGTGCTCGCTGCACAGTCCTCAGTTTGGGCAATCGGTGAAAAAATTACAGCGTCCATGATGCTTTGTTGTAGTTCTACGACATCTGGGGATCTACCTTTAAAGCACACCCAAACTAGTTCCTAAATGCATGGTGGGTCACACAGCCTTCACTGGCAGCTCAAATTAGATACCTGGTGCACAGGCAGTAGAGTACTAACAGGGCGGGGGGGGGGGGGGGTTCTGCCCCAATTGACAGTCAGGAAAAGGGTGCACGCAGCACCTATCTCATAGCTTTGCATTACCACATACTTTATTGCATTCAAGCGATACAGAAACTTAAAGGGATACAGAGAAAATTCTAATTAGAACTTGAAATACATCAGAGGGCAACGCTTGGGCAACACCAAGTAACATTATGATCATTGAAATACAAAAAACACAACATAAGGAACTACAGACTACATTCAAACTTATTAGTATTAACCTAGTTTTTCAGAGAAGCACTTGCTAAGAGATGCTCACGCTTATAAAGGTTGCTATCAAATTCTGAAAAATTATGTAATCATAGATTATGCACTGTAAACATACTATATTAAAGTGCAGGGAAAGATATCTTATTTGTAGGGAATACTATTTGATTTGCACTAAAAATATTATATTTAAAACCGGAGATATTATTTTCCAGGTTTGCTAATTTGGCTTTAGTTGTACAAGTCAATTGCCTACTCATCACAGCTTACTGTTTGATTAATGAACCCCAGTGTCCACCACCCTCTATGTTTATCAAGTGTAGTGTAGTGTAGTGTCCCAATATGTCAGAAGAAGGCTAAAATAACTGTATATGAAAATAATGGTACAAGCAGTAAGTACAATTAATTGGTTGATGCTAACAAAGGGGCTTTATTTACCATCAGCCTACATGTGCATGTCTGATGAAGTGGGTGTCACTACTCTGTTCCTACTCTGCTTGTTAAAAGCCACCATCCCTACCTGCTACCACATGTTTTTGTTGACTTGTGCTGAGGCTGCAGGACTGTGAGATCACTACTTTCAGTCAGCAGGAGCCCGATCTCTCATGGCTCTAGTCCCTCACAGTGAGCACAGCTAAACATGCTACTACCCACAATGTGTAAACACACCACTATGCATAGTATACATGTGCACATCATGCAAATCTAGTCCTAATATGGGGGCTTTGCAGGCTGGAAATCTCTATTATGTGCTCAGATATCTTTCTGTCTCCTCCACCTCCTTCACTAGTCTTAACATTTGAGTCTCATAGGTCCCTGCACAAAATGCACATATGGAAGGTAGGGTTAGGGATACGGTTAGGGGTAGAGGTAGGGTTAGGGGTAGGGTTAGGAGTAGGGTTAAGGCTAGGGTTAGGGGTAAGGGTAAGGGGTAGAGGTAGGGTTAGGGGTAGGGTTAGGGGTAGGGGTAGGGGTAGGGTTAGGGTTAGGGGTTAGGTTAGGGGTAGGGGTAGGGTTAGGGAATTGCCGAAGTCTTGAATTTCTGAAGTGGCGAATTCCCGAAGTCCCAAATTCCCAAAGTCCTGAAGTCCCGAAGTGCCGAAGTCCCGAATTGCCAAATTCCCGAAGTCCCGAGTTTCGGAAGTGCTTAACCAAACCAACGTGCCGAATTGCCGAAGTCCCAAATTGCTGAAGTCCAGAATTTCGGAAGTGCCGAACCGAACCAAGTTTTTTTGCCCATGTACATCCCTACTAAATAGAAAAGGCTGCTTTATTTTGTTGGAAGACAATTGCAGCCCTGATTGATAAGAATCTGGTGTTGATCTTCTTTAGTTGTCAGTTCCTTGTGAAAAGTTGTGTCAATTTAATCTATGCACTGTGACACTGTAATAGCCATCAACAGGTTACAGGGTTATTCATTAAAGAGAGAGGCAAAGTTAATTTCATTTTGATGGTCAAAATAGCCAAAATGGAAAAAAGTCAGCTATGCTGTCATAGTCCATCTATTCTGGCTTTGAATTTGAAATTCATTTTAAATTTTTACTTTAGTAAATAATGCATGCTTGACTGTTTAGTGTTCAATGTAGGCTTGCCTGTTATCGAATCATTGACTTTGTGTGTTATGCTAAATGTGGTCTCAACCAGAGGTCCGCCTGTCTGTAAGAATTTATTGCCGGTCCGCGAAATCTTTCACCTAACTATACCACTACAGTGGGCCAGGAATAAATTGCCGCAAAATATTTTTTCTGCGCTATGATCATAGCACCGGGAACTGTGCCTCCCTCTCCCCTGCCGGCTCTGCAGGACCGGAGGAGAGATAAAAGATCTCACTCACTGGCCTGCTAGCAGTGTAATGCTGGCAGCCAGCAGGGGAGTGAGGGAGAGAGGACCTGGGGGGGCTCTAAGGTTCTTCTCTCGCGAGCTCGAAGCATTGCCACAATTACCATGGCAACGCTCCAAATCTCGCGAGAGTGAACTCTAGCCTGAGCTGCTAGAGTTCACTCTCATCACTGGGACCAACAGGGCTTCTCCACCGGACCACCAGGGATTGCCTTGTACTGTCCCCCCTCCCAGACAAAGGCAAGCAGGGAGGGGGGATATCAGAACTATTATTTTTTTAATTAAAAAAATATATATTTCTTATTCTACCCTCCAACTCCACAGACCCACAATAATTCTCCCCCATACACACACATAGTGCCCACCCTACACACACACACATACACTGCCCCCTTACACACACACACACATACTGCCCCATACACATACACACACTGCCCCCCATACATACATACTGTTTCCCATATACACAAACACACTAACCCCTATACACACACTGCCCCCATACACACTGCCCCCAACAGACACACACACACACACTGTCCCCCCACACACACATTGCCTACATACACACACACTGCCCCATACACACAAATACACTACCCCCTATATACACACACACTGCCCCTACACACACTACCCCAATACACACACTCACACACTGTCCCCCATACACACACACTGTCCCCATACACACACACTGCCCCAAATACACACACACTGCACTCCTCACACACACTGTACCCCTCACACACACACTGCACCCTCACACACACACACTGCATCCCTCACACATACCATTAGTTTTTATTTCTGGCTTATGCCGGTCCGCGAAATATTTCTCCTCTTTTCGTGGGGCTGCGGTTGTTAAAAGGTTGTAGAACACTGCACTACACCACCATGTGTATGGTTTAGGCAAATGATAAGACGTGATTTTTTTTTTTTTTTTTAATAAGGTATTTTTAAAAGATCTTTAAAATGCATAATTTATGTCAACACATAATGTTTTGTTGTTGCTGCTGTTTTTGTTTCTGTAGATATTGCATATCAGTATTGAGATTGTTGTTATTTTGTTACCCCCACTACATTGTGTAGTCTGGTTAAACAACTTCTGATACATTCTCCACAGAGAAAATATCGTGTTCACTTTGATAAGACCAATAAAGATTGAAATAACTGTTACGTTCTTCAACTAGTGTTTCTAAATAAATTATTTATTTTTTCCACTTGATTTCAGCTTGCACTCTACACAAGAGAAACCTCGCTATACACCAATCATTAATTGTGATGTTTAATTTAGTATTCTTTTCCCCATTCGTTTTAGTAATAAGAGAAAGATTCATACAGCACTGAATTTTAACTGAAACATTTATTGAATGTGAAGTGAATTAATATGTCGATGAGTAATTTTCCCAACATGAAGTTTTACTATACATGAAGCTGCGAAGATCATTGTTAACATGATTACACAAGTGATTTCAAAGAGCGATGCTGATTAGCACAGTTTGGTGTGCAAACTCGGCACAGAAAAATCTGCAGTTATTTTTATAATTTCCGACCTTATATGTTCTGTACATTTCATGAAGCGTAGCATTTATATATCTTACTCGAAAAAAAGCACATCAAATAAAACAAAATGACCCATGAAAATTCTATTGATTTCCTTTGATTTAACTTTGTAAAATCATAATAGTTAGAATATGACACTTATGAAAATCTATTTTTTACTTTTGAATTAGAAAATGTTCAATAATAACCTATATCAATGAATTTCATACACTGAAAAGCTCAGGGATTGCTTACACACAATTCATTGTTCCCATGATAAATACATGCTTATTAAAATACATACACAAATTCAAACAACTTGTTCTGCAGGCTGCACAAGCAGTAAGCTGGCAGAGAGTAGCAAAAATAACAAAAATTAGTTTTATCTCCCCAGGACTGTTTGTTAATAGAGGGGCACCCAGCTCACCCTTTCCATCACAACATAAGGCTAGAATAAGGGTCAACATTTAAAAAAATGCTGGCTACCCACATACTCCTGAGTTGTAGAACGGCTGCATCTGAATAAAACTGGGGGATCAGTAGATCTGCCATACCGTGTTATTGTTCCCATATCTTTTTTATTAAAGCAAATTCATTTTAAAATATACAATTGCCAAATGATGTCTACACTGCCTTTTGTTTTGCCTTTAACCCCTTAAGGACACATGACATGTGTGACATGTCATGATTCCCTTTTATTTCAGAAGTTTGGTCCTTAAGGGGTTAAAAAGAAAACCTGTGGTGGGTTTACTGTACTCTTACTAAGTTCTAATCTACTACCTGCTACTTATTATTATACATGTCAACAATGAACGTTATTAAACAGCCCAAGGAAGAGGACAAGTTCCTCCTGAGTTCAGTTCCCCGTGTTCAATATAGCTGTGCATGTAGACAGCATTGCAATAATGCCTACACAAAAAGATACACCAATACCCACAGGGTGGTGAAGTGGTACTGGATAATAGGGGTTCCAGCAAAAGTCTCCAACTGTGCTTTAGAATGTGTAGATGCTGTTGAGTACAATATGCTAAACATAAGTGCGCATGGCATCAATCATAAAAAATGTATTAAGGGACGGGGCCTGGCCGCCACACTGACCAGTCGCATGCTGCAGGGGCTCCTGCAGATTTTGGCCCTTTTGGATGCAAATCTTAGCTCAATGCTACAACCCAAGCACAGAAGCTACCTAACAGCTGCAGGAGGTTTCTGGCACCACTGCGGACCCCAAGACCGGGAGTTTTGACACCCCATGAGGGTGAAACAACGCTTTGAAGCCTGCGGCCTAATGGGGAGCAGAGTGGGACAGACTGCTGTCCAGCTCATATACCTGGTGTCATACAACTGCGCGGTGATAATCTCCGCAGGCCCCAACTCCCCCCCCCCTTTGGACCAGGGGGTTATCCCAGTTCCCACTGGAGGAAACTGATGCCACACAGACCACTACTTCTGAACTACCAAGCGGATGATTTCCCGCGTTCACTCCACAAAAGGGCGTCCACGTGGCCTACCCTGGGCAAAGCGCTACTGACTGAAAGCAGATGTCCTTACAAACCATGGCATCTGCTGACCACAGCTGTGACCCCCGGCATTACATCACCAGCGAAAGGCTGTTCAATCTCCCAGACCCAGCTGCAGTACTGGTTCCCATGACTGCCTTCCTGGGCTTTGAGCCCCCAGAGGACACTCCTCCAACCACAATCCCACTCCAGAACACCCCAGCCAGGACTTCCATTACTGGCCCCCAGTGGAGCCGGAGCTGTGGGCACAGGTGGCAGGCTCAAGCAGAGCCTAGGGCTGGTGGAGTGATACAAATCAGACCACCCTTTATGTTGGGACTGTAGTATAGAGTTAGGGGCTGTAGTAGTAAGTAGGGCTGCAATTGGGAGATTAGGAGCTAAAAATAAAACATTTTTCCCTACTCCACTGAGACAGGGAAGGGGGAATCAGGCTCCCTGGTTGTCTGGGGGAGATGTACTGCTTTTCATGGCCCTGATCAGTGCTCCTTTTTCCCATATGCCGAGTGTGAAAGGCAGAGTCAAATGTGAGGGGATACAGCCTAACACAAGGGGCAGAACCTAGTTCTGCACTCCACTTGATGCGCCTCTATCCACAGAGCATCCGGGTGCTGTTTACCTGCCCAGGGTCGGCCATGACTACTTTGTTTTCTGGTATCTTGACCCAGGTTGTCCATTCATAGTTCTGCTTCCCCTGTGCTTTGACCATGGCTAGGTAATAAACCTTATATTTACATTTTGTCTCTAAGTTTTAAGTCCAGAAACTCTTCGGTCGGTAATATACCTTTCTATTGTTCCTGCTATCTTCTTTGTTAGAGAACTAACGTATACATTGCAGAAGGGTACTATGACGATCAATGATTTTTAACAAATACTGTGCTATTTGCAAAATGTAAACATTAAGGGACAAATCTCTAAATAGTATACCCAATTTAGTGAAAACCTATATTGTAATTTTGGGTTGAACTGTGTAATTTTTCCATCATGTTTTCCATAATACTGCAATGCACAAGTTGCTAATACGATTATAATGTTAGTGCTAAAAAAATAACCAAATAAGAATAAAAAGAGAATCCCCTTTTAAAAGAGCCTGAAAATGGGTGTAAGTCTACCATCAATCATAATCATAATGTAAGTCTACCACCAATCAAAAAACATTGAATTATGGATAGGGTATAGTTTATGAAAGTGAAGTAGAATAAAGTAACGGAAAATTAGAAAATATTTGTCAATAGGCAGAGTATATAGGGCATAAGTGGTGAAATTCCAATTGAATACTTGGAGTTAGAAAATGTGTTTGGAGTTAGAAAATGGATATTAGTGTTATTCTGACCAGTAGAAGCATTATACAAAGTCATAAATTAGCGTTCTAGGGAAAGATTTCCCATAAGACAGCCATAATAGGTAGAAATGGCATAGGTTGGCCGTATGGGCACTCATTTTAAAGGAAAACTGCAATTAGCATTTTAATATTGCATTTTATTATTTAAATGCTTTTGGCACTTTTTTTATTTTTATTTTTTCTCTTAATAATGCATATTATTCATTTTTTCTGTTTTGTTCCCCTCCTTTACCAGTGCTGCCATTTCTTGTGATCTTGGGTCATTATCTGATCCTGATCCAATAACACTCTCAATGCAATGGCTGCTGTGCAGTTGTACACAGCACAGTTGTAGAGGTCCATGCTATAAATATTCCACTTAACATAAAACTCATGCACTCTTGGAAGACATCCTTGATGGAACAAATAATGAAAACCACAACAGTTGTCCCCATTACAAAAATTCTGCATTGTTCTAAAGATTTGAAGTTCATTTGGTGTCTTCCTATGAAAGACTTACAGGGTTATTCATGAAAGTGTGATTTGTTGTATATTCAAAGTAAAGACAAATTTAATTTGAATATTAAAGCAAAAGATTGCACAATTGAAGAATTTGGCTCTTCTGACCTAACATTTGAAATAAACTTCTGGCAAGTCACACTTTAGCATATACCTCTGCTGGTGTTTCTTTTTTTTTTTTGTTAATTATTTACGGTTACTCTAGTTATGCTAAACGTCGTCTACTTCCTGTTCCTTCTTTTATATCCAATACGTAAAGCCATGGAACCACACACGCAATGAATTTCAGTAAGCTATTTCTCCAGTCTCCAGTCTCCAGCTGTAAGTTAGAAATTGATGTAGTGTTGCTTCCATTACCACTAAACACACGCTACTGTAGCATATTATGGAGACATGCTAAAAGTGCAGTGGTACCTGGATAATGTAAGGTTAGCAGCGATGAGGTAGATGACCATTGACAGTAATAGTATGCATTTAACATACATTTATTCTGCATCCAGTCTACATTGTGCCAATTAAATAAGATTTGTCCCATTTAGTTTCAGCATTCTATATAATTTTGGTAAATTGTGAAGTTCTACTAGGCAAATAATATGAAATTATATTGCATAAAGCAGAGAGAATGAGAGTGAGAGATGAAAGCATGGACTGGAAATAACTGAGTAAATGTGAAGCATGATTGAGGATAATGACAGACAGGAGGATGGAAAATGAAGAAAAAATTGGAATGTTGGGGGGTAAGGGCTATCAGAACAAGTGAGAAGAGAGGGGTGAGGACAAGCAGGAATGGCAGAGGAGAAAGAGCTGAGGACCATCAGAAAGGCAAACTAAATGAGGAGTGAGACGTGAGTGCAAGCAGCAGTGATTGAGAATAAAGGGTCAGGACAAGCATGAATACTGGAATAGACAAGGATGAGGACAAGCATCTATGATTGAGGGAATTTAGGATGGTCAGAATAATTTATGGTAGAGGAGGTAGGAAAGGCAATGATGATTGCAGAAATCTGGCTATGGACAATCAAAACAATTGACTTGGCAACCAGCACAGAGAAAGAAGGTGAAATCAAAATTAAAGCTTGTTTATACTCTTCCAAAAGAATGTGCCCTGGTTGTGCCAGTGATGAACATGTTTGTGATGTAAGTTGCTGAATCATATAAATGATTTCCTACTTTTAAAAAAAACAGAGCACTGCATGAAATAAAAATTACCACAAGCATTAGTAGATTTATTATGTACAATTGTCTAATTTTCAGTTTAGGATTTGAATGTATCCCCACTGGAACCTAATTGAAAAATGCCTTGATCCTAGACTGTTGGTCTGTTTTTAAAACTGGTTTGGAAATCACTGATATGGAGAAATATATGGCAAAAAAAAGAGAGGAAACAGACTGGAGGCATAAATGTCCCTCCTCCTTCCACACCTCAGTCCAGTTAAAAAGAAAGAAAGGACTGATGCTGCCATGATAAATAGCCAGGAAAGGAAAATGACTAGGTAAGTATGTAATTTAACTTTCCATATTCCTGGCTAATCATGGCAGCATCACTTATGGGTAATACCCAAGCAAAAAAAACCTCGGAAGGGAGGGGAAAATAAAATGGAATTGACAAGACTCTGATTGCTGCAAAGAAAACTTAAGTTTTATTATGAGCATTAACAGCCAACATAACTCCTTTGCCAAAGCAATAGTCGTAGAATGAAGGTCCAGTTTGTAGTTCTTAATAAAGCTTGTATGAGTGGACCAAGTAGCTGCCCTGCAGATGTCCTCTGGAGGAACCTCTGCCCAATTAGCCCAATATGTAGCCAGGGACCTGGTGGAGTGAGCGCTGATTCTGGCTGGAGGAGTAAGCTTGTGCCACAAGTAGGAGTTTGTTATGACAGAAGCTATCCATCTCCATAAAGTAGAGGAAGAGGCCGCTTCACCCTTACGAAGGCCAGAAAGAAGGACAAACAATTTGTTGGTCTTTCTGGAGACAGAAGTAACATATAGGTACTTGATTATAAGCTCTGTCACATCGAGTTCACGGTATCGCTCTTCCTCGGGAGAAGACGGGAAAGTACAGAAGGAAAGGAGAACCACCTCCTGGAGTAGATGAAATCTAGATACGACTTTAGGAAGGAAGTCTTCACTAGGTCTCAGACCACTCGATCATAAAATAAAAGAGTGTGTGACTCATCACTAGAGAAAGCCTGGAGTTCCGCAATAGATCGCCACAAGGAACACTGTTTAATGAGTGAGGCGTTGAATAGAGATGTCCTGCAGTGGTGCATAGGGACATTCAGTTAGAGCATTCAGGACCAATGATAAATCCCATGGAGGAGCTGAGTTTCTGGTTGGAAGGTGTAAGTGTAATGTCTCCTTAAAAAACCTTGAGATGCCCATGAGGTATTACAAAGGGTAGACAGAGCTGAGGACTGCACCTTCAACGTGCTTAGGCTGAGACCTCTGTCCAGGCTTGCCTGTAGAATTCCAGAGTATGGAGGTGAGTAGGGTGTTGAGAATCAAAGACTTCACGACTGCCCATTTTTGAAAGGTTTCCCAAATTCTGTAGTAGCAGAAAGACATAGACTGTTTCCTTGCCTTCAGGAGCGTATCAATCACTGTTTTGGACAGGCCCTGGTTAAGGAGAGATCTCCTTTCAACAGCCACCCTAGGTTCCAACTGGATGGGTTGGGTTAAGTTGCTGGATCCTGGATTAGAAGGTCCAGGGAGATTGGAAGCAAGCAAGGATGGGCCAGATCAGAATAATGGCAATTACTCTTTCCAGATTTTTCTCAATATCCAGGAAATCAGAGGCAGGGGAGGGAATACATACCCCAGGTCGAAGTCCCAAGGATGGGAAAGGGCATCTTGACTCAAAGCTAGAGGGTCCTTGGATAGGGAAAAGTAGCTTGTCACCTGAGCATTCCATCTGTTGGCCATCAGGTCCACCTGGGCTATGCCCCACCTCTTCATCAGAACCCAAAAAGTCTGGGATTCAAGCTAGATTCGCCTGGTAATATGGGAGTTCTGCTGAGGAAATCTGCCAGAATATTTTCTTTCCCCGGGAGGTAGAATGCTTTCATCTCCTTGATATGAACTTGCGCCCAGGACATCAGCGGAGTTATTTATTGTAAGAGAAGTTTACTTCTTGTGCCTCCTTGGGGATTTATATACGCAGCCACTGCTTTGTTGTCCATATGTATAGAAAGCCAAGGACTCTGGAGGGCTCTGTGGAGTTTCTGCAAAGCAATGTATATGGTCCTCAATTCCCGCAGGTTTGAGTGAAGGCACCATTCTGAGGGATTCAGAGTGCCTTGAATCCAAATCGATTCCGTGTGAGCACCCCATCCTGTCATGCTCGCATCTGTGGTGATAATTTGCCAAGGGGCATCTTCTAAAGGAAAACCTGAATATTGTCTCACTGTAACCATCCTACCAATTGAACTTTCACCACTTGAGGAATTTTGAATAATTTGTAGCCAGTTGTTGCGATAGTGGTTGAACTGATTCAGGAAGTTCAATTGGATAGTTCTTGAGTTCCATTGCGCCGATCAGACTAATCCTATGGTTGAGGTTAATGAGTCCAGAATGCTTATGTACACCTTGGCCGTGATGGAATATTTGGGAAGGACCGAGAGAATCTTGTTTTCTAGTCTGTTTATCCTTTCTTGTGAAAGGAAGACCTTTGCTTTTACGGTGTCGATATAGGCACCCAGAAATATTGCTTGCTGCGATGGAATTAGAGCACTCTTCTCCTTGTTCTTGTATACAGTTAACGGTCCGTAACGTGTGACGAGAGGCTTCTTGAAGAGATGGAGCAACTATTAAAATGTCATCCAGGTAATGAAATATGACCAGTCCTTGTTTCCTCAGATGTACTATAAGGACCACTAAGATTTTTGAGAAGGTCCTTGGAGCAAGGGTTAAGCCGAAAGGGAGGTCTCTGAATTGGAAATATTGTCATATAATATGAAATCAGAGGAAGAGGGTAGATGGGAATGTGATAATATGCATCTCTCAGGTCTATGGATGTTAGCCAATCCCCTCTGTTGATGTTGGGAATAATAGTGGATATAGATTCCATCTTGAAAGAGAGGCGCTTCAGGAATTTTTTGGTTTTCTTCAGATCTATTATCAGCCTCTGTAGCGGAGAGGCAGTATAATCCACAATATCTCCGATGGTAGACAGGAGCAGCATCGAATAATCCAGGTAAAACAGGTACAGCATACAGTAATCCCGGTAGCGTTATACAGATCCTTCCTTCCCAAGAACTAGACAACACATAGGCTGGGAGTCAACTGAGGTTTTAATCACAGGTCACAGTATGTATGTGGTTCCCAATGCAAGGATTTTCCTTACTGACTTTACAGGGGTTGTACAGTAGGGGACTACATGGGGAACTCAACAACCAGGACATTTCTCCCACCGTGCACTTCTGTGCGAGAGGGATACTGCCACTAGAATATCCAGTTAAGTGGATCATCCATCCATGCAGCAGAACTGGCTTTTTACATAAAAATCTATAACTTTAACATTATTTGTGATATTATACCGAATGACCATTCGGCAGATAGCTGGGGTCTGAGCGCATACTTCATGAAAGTACCGCTCAGATCCCAGCACAATTAGCTGAACGCTGCACAAAATACACTTGAACACATATTCTTCACAAAGTCACGAATACACATACAGAGATAAAGTACCGAAAGACTAGGGCTCCCGAATGGCCTGGAAGTCCAGCAGTAGTCGTACCGTCGAGTAGCCGATTTTAGTTCCAGGCACTCGACGACCAAATATCGCTGAGCTAACAAAGGATCCAAGATGGCCACCACCGCGTGGTCAGTATCTGAACGGCGGCCACCCTGAACATCTATTAACTGCTGAAAGATACATTGTTGTGATCCTTGATGGGAGCCACACGACCTCCTGTGTGTGGTCTCCCATTCGGTAGTTTGTTCGTTTCACGAACATTGTTGAAATTCACTGTTCGTGAAACTACTGCATGAATGATGGCATACGAATGCTCTCGTTCACACAAAATATAGAAAAGGGAACATGGACAGTTCAGGTAGTCTTAAAGCCACAATATCACACAAACTTAAATAAAGTCTTAAGTGGGAAATATAGTCTGAAGTGGCTAGGTTTGCCACATCCTCCATTTCCCGGGTTTTGAGGCCAAGAATACAGTTGAATATATACATTTGAATCTCTCTGAAAGAGTCACCTCTTCTGTGACACCTTGGAGAAGTAGTCTTTTGCCCCCGGAGATCATGGCTTCTCCTTTTTCCCCAGAGGGTTTTCTTGGCCTTTTGAAGGAGTTCATTGGAGGAAGAGTCAAATTCGATTCTGTAGCCCTGATCAAGGATGAACATGACCCATGAGTCTGATATATTCATGGCCCAAACAGAAAGGAAATGATGAAGTCTTCCTCCTAGGCAGTCTGTATGGACCTGTAAACCTTCATAAGTTTTTAGAAGGGACTTCCGATCCCCTCCCTTTGTTGGATTTAGAGGAAGATGAGGGAGGCTGATAGGATCTGTTGTATTCTTTACCTGGTCAATATGCTCTGTTGTCTCGAAAGGACCTGTAACAAAACCTTTTGTCTTTCCACGAAGTTGAGTATGGGCTCTCTTCCCCTGATGTAGGAAAGCTTTCTTGCTGTCTGCAGCTTTTTGGAAAGCCTCATCGAGGACTTTTCCAAAAATGAGATCATCCGGGAAGGGAAGAGCACAAAGGGAGGATTTTGAAAATTAGTCAGCTCCTCAAGAGTGTAACCACATGGCTCTTCTGGCTGAGACAGACAATGCCATGCTTTTGGCAAACATCTTGGAGATACCCAGGGATGCTTTGGAGCTAAAATCTGCTGTGAGTCTGAAATCCCTAAGGCTGTCCAGAATGTGTTCTCTTCTCACACCTCTTTGGATATATTCTTCCAGGTTGTCTAACCATACTTTCATAGCTCTGGACAGGGTGGTAACAGCTATAGCTTGGTGTAAGACTGAGCCCAGAGACAGATAATCTTTAATTAGATTGGTATCCAGTCTCTTCTCCATAGGTTCCTGCAAATATGCCATGGAGTCAATGGGAAGCGTAGTACGTTTTGCAATCTTTATTACAGCTGCATCAATCTTTGGAATAACAGACCAAGTTTTGCAATCCTAGGAGGCGAAGGGGTAGATCCTAGGATTTTTATTTTTGAGGGTAGCTTTTTTCTCTGACCTAGCCCATTCATTAAGGATCATTTCCTTGACAGAAGGATGCACAGGAAACAAGGGTTTCAAAGAGCTGAGGTCTTCAAAATATTTGTCGTATTCTAGGGATTCCGACTTTTCTTCCTCTAATTATAGGGTATTTTTTATGAGGAAGATACGTTTTTCGACAGATTTGGAGTCTAAGGATTAAGGGCCATACTCCGTATTCTCTTCCTCTTCGTCAGAAATATCCTCAAAGGATTCCAGCTCAGACTCAGATTAGGAAGAAGAGGGTTCAGCTCTTTGATGCTTTTTGGAGGTGGTGTTTTTAGTAGAAGCCTTGAAGCATTCTGCTATGGCTTGGGATATTTTAAGTTCTTCTTGAGGAGAACACTACCTGGGCAGAATGTCATACGGATAAGGCATAGGTTTTTACCCTCTAGAGCAGTTTTATTGTAGGTCAAGCAGCGATTATATTTTTCCTTTTGTTTCTTGGGGGATCTATCCCAGCACATGGTTGGGCTGCAGAATAAGAAGGGCCATGTAAGTAACTCTAAACTAATAAACTTTGGCTCACCTATGTTTCTCTGAACCTGAGTTGTGGGAGGCAGAAGGAGAAGACATCTATAAAAAAGGAATAAAAAAGCGCGTGAAGAGAAATTTGTTTCAAGAAAAATATATTATTTCCTATGAATATAAATGAAAATGGGAGACAGAGAATCCATTCTTACCTTAAAGTGTGAAGGAAAAAACAACTGGCAGCACTGAAAGATATTTTTATAGAGACAGAAAGCCCTTGTCACTTTAAGAACCTAATGGAAACCTTTAAGTTAACAGTTCGCGAATGTACAGATAGTTCGTTAGAACGCTGATCCGTTCGAGCCTTTTTCCTATGACAGTTCATGCCAATTCATGAGAACAGACTATAAACAAATTGAAGTTAGCTGGGAAATTCCTTTGAAAGGAAAAACGAACACCACAGCATTCGTGCGGCTGAAATAGATGAACGAACAGGGAATCACTTACCAGAGTGTGAAGCTTACCCACAAGGGAACAAGATCAAACTCCCGAACGAAGGAAATACACAAACCTGTGAGTACACGAACTGAGGAAAGGTAGAAATAGAAGGAAGTTGTCCCGAAAGAAGAGGTGTATCTCCTAGTAGAGCCTAGTCCTCAGAATGTTGTTAGTCAATCCTTAAAGTAGATTCAAATCATTTGTATGAAAAGCTCATTCAAGCTGTTTACTGGGTCCTTCAGGCACAGAGGCTGAAATGTGCCTGGGAGACACATGGTACACATGGGATGGTGGCCAAAAAAAAAGAAAATTGTTAAGATTTAGATATGTGCAATTCGTTTCGGTCCGAATGAAAATACAGCCGAATTTAGGGAAGTTAGGGTGCTTCCGAATGACCAAATAGCTGAATTGCCGAAGTGCCGATGTGCCAAATTGTCGAAGTCCCAAAGTGCCGAAGTTGCCGAAGTTCCGATGTGTCAAAGTGCCGAAGTTCCGAAGCACAGTATTGCCTAAGTACTAATATACTTACCCAGTGAAAGAAGTAGAATGTTACATTCTATACAATTTTAAATAAAAAGTATACAAACATAGCCAGGATTAAGCTGTAAGCATTTGCAACACTTACAACAATCAAGTTACACACATTCATATAAAATGTAAGTTACTTGGCCAGTCAATGTAATGAAAGGAATGAATAAGTAGACAACTCCCTAATTCCCACGGTATCAGGGAGTTATCTACTAAAAGGCTGAAAGACCTGAATTGGTCTTTCAGTCAAATTTACTAATACTAAGTATTAGTAAATTATACCCCTACTCGCTATATCGAGTGTGGCTGCTCACTGTAAAAAAAAAAAAAAATCCCCCCTCCTGAGCGGTGGGTGGGGGCCCTAAAGTAAAAAAAGGGGGGGGACCTATTGTCCTCCCCACCGGCCCTCGTCCCCGAGCGGCGGGTGGGGGCCCTAAAGTAAAATAATGGGGGTGGGACCTATTGCCCCCTCACCCCCGGCCCCCACCCTTGAGAGGCGGATGGGGCCCCTAAAGTGAAAAAAGGGGGGCGGACCTATTGTCCTCTCCACCGGCCCCCATCTCTGAGCGGTGAGTGGGGGCCCTAAATAAAAATTGGAGGGGGACCTAATGTCCTCTCCCCTGACCCCCACCCCTGAGCGGTGGGTGGGGGCCCTGAACAAGCATAAGGGGGGGACCTAATGTCCTCCCCATGGCCCCCACCCCTGAGCAGTGGGTGGGGGCCCTAAATACAAATTGGGGGGGCCTAATATCCTCCCCCTTGGCCGCCACCCCTGAGTGGTGGGTGGGGGTCCTAAACTAAGACCTAATGTCCTCAACTTGCATAGCATCAAACTCTAGGTTCTCTGTGAGACTGGGCAGATTCATCTCCACATTGTCAAAGTCTACCACAATATCCAGCCAGTATTTAAAACATTTTAGCCCTATCAATGTGATGATAGCTACAGCTTTGTGACACATCTGCTGGAACATTTTAGAGCAGTTCTTTATATTATTTATTTATTTTTGAGCAGATCTCTGATGAAACGTTTAAATCTACCAGCATGCAATAGATAAAACAGAGGTGAAGAATAAATGTTACCCATGTGATGTAATACAGCAAGTAGTCAATGGTAATCAACTGATCTGAAACTGTATTATTATCCTGTTTATACATTATTAATTTAAAATATCCTATCTATCATAATGTTTTAGTGTTATGCCAAATGTTTTAGATTCCCCTCCATATCTCTTACCCACTAGTCCTCCCTAATTCTTTAACAAAATGCTTGTTCTATGTTTGATAGCTTCCTCTCTATTGATCTATTCTTCCAGGTCCACTTAGATTCTTCTGCACCCTTTCTCACCACACACCCTCCCCTACCCTTTCAACTTTCCTTCAACCCTTCCATATTATCATTTACTTCTCACTAATAAAGATCTTACAAGCTGAACAGTATTTGCATACACACTCAACTAACCATCACCTTTCAACTACCCCTGGATCATCTTCTCTCAAATCTCAATTTGTATCTTTAAATTATCACAAGCAATCCACTAAAGCATTCTGTATGAAAGTGTTAGACAATCATTTGTACCGTGTATTGTATGTCTGAAGAACTTCCATTGTGTAACATTGTGAAACATATTGATCTTTGCAACACTATGCCATAATAATAATGAGCAAAACTGAACAAGCAGTGTCAAAATGTAACTAGCTAACATTACCTGCTCAATAGCTCGTTACAACTTGGAAACCAACATGATTTTCTGAAATGTGAATGAAGGACAATTGCCTTTTAAGGGTAGATTTGTTTTAAAATGTGTCCAGGTTAGCAAAATACACTATTGAAATATTTTTATCCTGATTCTTTTTACTTTATCATAGCTTAGTCTCTATAATAGATACATATTGAAATATTTATATTAAGATTGCGTAAAATGAGGACAACCATCAGGCAATATATTTACAAATAGATGGAAGTTTAAATGATACTTTTCATGTTCCAATCCTTTTTTATTGACATTATTTTTGAAATTATCTGTGCAAGGACCATCTTTTGATGAGTTTTTGTTAATATCAGTTTGTATGGCATATTTATATATTTATTTCTGATTGCGATGTCAAAACAGGTTTCTGTGGAAATCACAACATGCTTCTGACTTCTTATAACAGAAAACCTGACATACAAGACTGTCACAACCCCATATGATATAATTGGTCTGGGGTAATGGAATTAAGTAGTCATAAACATTCAATGTTAGGACAATGCATCTATTTGCATTGCTAAACTCAGAACACGGGCAGTTAGTAAAACAAAAACATACAATAAAACATAAAAATAAAATAGACAATAAGAGGATTATTGAATATTTCAGATTGTAAACAAATATGAGGTATGACAATATAGCATTATTAATACATTAGAGTAAATCTGATGGACATAGTACAGGCAGACAGACACAGATTGATTGACAGACAGACAGACAGACAGACAGATAGATAGATAGATAGATAGATAGATAGATAGATAGATAAATATTCCCAACTGTTAATTGTAGGGTTGTAGATTCATTATTTTCTTGTGAATACAAAACATCTGTTGTAAAGTTGCAATCAGCAACTAATATTTATCACATTATCAATGAGTAAAAACACACTACCCATGGGTTAAGGAACATTGAAGAAATTACCTGTCTCCTAGAGGATATGGTATTGTTGGAACATCTACTAGATAACTTTGAGTTATAAGTCTTGTTCTGATGGGTTGAATCATTTCTCCACGTCTTTGAGTTCTCCTTTGGGTCAGATGGAATAGGATTGAGGAATAATATTCTTGCAATGAGTCCATATAGGACAGTTGCCAACGTCATGGGGACAGCATAGAATACAGCAAAGTCAATTAGGTAGATTGGAGAGTAGTAACTCCTGGGGACTTTGTAACCACAGTTCACCACTGTTGCATCTTTGTAAATGGTAGTGTTCAAATCAAGCAGGAAAAACCACATCATGCAATAAAGGGATGTGAAGGCCCAGACAAATACAATTATTTTTTTGGCCCTTGATATGGTACAAAGAAATTGTGCCTTGATGGGATGGCAAATTGCGAGGTACCTTTCAATTGTGAATGCAGTGATTGAACAAGATGAAGCATTGATGCCCAAGTACTGGAGGAAAGTAATGCAGAGACACCCAATATATCCGTAAACCCATGAGCCATAGATACTTTCAGTGATGTTGGGAAGCCCAGCTGCCACCAAGACCATCAGATCTGCAATGGCAAGGCTGACCAAATAACAATTAGTTGGAGTTCTCATGTGTTTAGTCCTTAGAACCACAAGAACGACCATAACGTTTCCAACAATACCAAGTCCACAAATTAAAATGACCAGAAAAATAGTGACCACTTGGTACCCCAGACTGTTCAGTTCTCTGTCATGGAGCAATGTGGTATTTAGTTCGTTAAAAGATTCGTTATCCATGTTCAAATTATAGGACTGAGTAAAGAGATGATCACTCTCTATTTCCATCTTTATTCATGTTCTTCTGCAAGAAAACGTAAGTCATTATTATTTCACAATATTTCAAAATATCAAATGAAACTGTTTTAGATTTTATTTTGTAGCTGAGATGCAAAATATAGGATGTAAACAATAAAATATTTTTGTTTATTTTTTATTTTTCTTTCATGTTTTATTTTAACACCTTTTTTTCATCATTTAGAACCTAAAAGATGTATAATTATATGTAAGGCAATAATTTCAATACATTTAGTATTCCTAAACGTAAACGTAAAGACTAAACCAGCTTATTTTGGAAAATTATTCAACTCAGCTTTATTCACATGTTGGCTTTTTTGAGACTGAATTGTATAATTAAATCTCAATTAACCAGAATTCACTGTTTAGTAAGTAAGCACCTAAGACAAAGTTTTATTTTTGAAATATTTATTTTACACAATAACTGATAACTCTACCTAATGATTAATGTGACAATCACATATTTTTACAGCTATAATGTTCGCTGTGTTATAAGATGCATGGAAAATATCTCATTACTTGAAATTATCAAAGGAAATGAAGAACAGAAACAAAAAGGAAAATAAATTGATGGTTTCAGTAAAGGAGCATAAACTTGCAAGAATTGAAGATAATTACTGAAGTCTTGCACTAAGTCATCGAGTATTTCACTGTACTCAATGGTTAGACAAAGACAACAACAATTCTATACATTAAAAACAACATAATAAATCTATAATACAAATAAAATACAATAATAGTAATAATAATTATAATAATGCAATTCATGTATTTCAGTTGAACAACGATTTTAACAGTATTTCTGTTCATTTTGGTTCAAAAGGGTAAATAATTTTACAAAAGCTTCTAGTTAACATGCAGAACAAAAATGAAAATATTAACCCAAAAGGTGATAATAAAAAGCTTATCTATTCTTATTTTGTTTTGTTTTTTTATCTAGAAGTCTATAAGCAATATGGTTAAAGAAATGTTGTAGCACTAAGGAAAACTTTACACCAAAGCTTTTTCTAAAAATTACAGGTAACATTTTATCTCAGGGTAGGATCGGAAACAAAAACATATATTCTGCATCAGGTGCACAGACACATAAAGACAATTTTATATTCAACACCAAATATCTAACAATCTACCAACTATCATAGAAATGAGAATATTTGTATTTTACACCCTTTTAGGATAAAACGTAATAAATACAATAAACAGAAATCATGACACTAACATTAAATAGTAATGTTTAATTTCCACTCCCCCACCCCTTTCATGATAAATTGTAAAATAATCTAACTTACCTTCTTCTGCCAAAAAAAATATTCTTCCTACTGAAATTCTGAATGAAGGGGGACCTCCTGGTAATCACACCTGAGTTTGTATTTGATTACTTTGCAATAGCCTGGCAGACTCAGAACCTCATTCACTAGATAGCATCATAAATAAAATTTAATGAGAAAGAGAGATGTTGAATTTCTGTTCCCCTCCTGTAAGCAAGTGTGCAGTGTCTGGACTAAAATATTAGCTAAGCATGTGTCATGTTGAACTACATGCACACAGAGATCTGTTTAAAGTCTATAAATAAGCTCACTGCTATATTTCAGCATTGTTCCAATTGTTGCATCTTTCCATTCAAGCATAAATGATTACAAATTACCTTTTAGCTTCTAGTTAAGCTGCAGCAGCTATGTGATGTAAGGTTGTTTTATAGCCGATCTTAAAAAGCACTATAATGTATTGGATCACCATAGAGGCCAGAAGAAAGAAGCCCCATTGGCAAATGTCTGACAGTGATTTGAGACAAACCCTCCTTTCTACTCTCCCTCCCCCTTCACCATTCACCAGTCAACTAAAGCTACATTTTTTCCTGCAAGTTGGAGAAAAAGCAATAATAATTCCATGCAATCCTGTTATAAATCGAGTCATTTTTCATATAGAAAATTAGCTCGTACAAATATGTACAGAAAAGCATTTTAAATGTATTGTCTGCATGTATTGCTTAATATATTTATTTTTTTACTTAAGCCAGCAATAATAATTTTAAATGCACTGTTATTAAATTATTTGAGTGAGACACTGTTTAAAAAAACAAAAGAAAAAAAACCTTTAATGGAATATTTGTATCTAAGTAAAAGGTGTGTCAAAATCCAGTAACATGCTTACGGGGTTATTCAATATATTGTCTGGAATTCAGATTAAATTTTAAAAGGATACTGTAATCACCAGAGCAATTTTAGCTTAACAAAGCAGTTTTGGAGTATAGATCATTCCCCTGCAGTCTCACTGCTCAATTATCTGGAGCTCAATTTAGGAGTTACATCACTTTGTTTATGCAGCCCTTTATTCACTTCATGAAAAGTGACATCTACTGTTTGCACTTCCTTTCCTGCACAGTCTGTTTAATTTAGAATTTCTAATCTCATGCACTGTTAATAGTTTTATAGATCTTTCAGGAGCATCCCACATGTGATTAAAGTTTAATGTAAAGAGCAGGAGATACAAACTTCTAAAGCAAGTTAGCATTTGATTGAAAGTAAAACCATTTATTCATGCAGGCTGAGTCAGTCAAAGCCACATGAGGTGTGGTTAGGGCTACATAAACAGAAACAAAAGTGATTTAACTTCTAAATGGCAGAGAATTGAGCAGTGCATGATCTATACACAAGAAATGCGTCATTAAAATAGAGTTGTTTTGGTGACTATAGTGTCCTTTTAACCCAAATGTTTGCTTTTAAAACAAAACAAAAAATAGACTGAAAATATGGCTGATGTGGAGACATTTTCTAAATCACTGCTTTGAGTTTAGTGAACAATCTTGTCTGTTTAGTGAATATCTGTGTTCATGTTAGATATTAAGGAGATAACGTTCTGTGATGTTTCATTTGTAAAAACACATGGATGTTAATAACACTAACACTAAATATCTGTTGCACATTGACATTTGACAATTGACATTTCCTACTGAAACCATCTATCCTTATCTGTAAGTATAACATTTCAAATGTCAACATATTCTTCACTAGAGTGAATATATTACAGAAACAATATTGCGGTACCTAGTGTTGTAGTTTTGCTGGATACAGTGGTGACTCTCTTGCTGTGAGTTTAGGTATAATTTGTGTCACACGGTCATAGAGAGCACTGAAATGCCATTGCAGTACTTATGAATGCAAACAAATTACAACATCCCTATAATGATGGTTGGCATAAACAATTATGGCGGTGACATTTGAAACATACCATCCATTAACATTTACATGGTCCTCCATTTTTTTAAATTATGTTTCCAATGAAGATATATGGGAATATATTTACATTACCTCATGTAGCATACAAGTATAACAATCACAGCCAAAACACTACAACCACTACATCCTGCACCTCCTGCTTCTAGATTCTTCTTGCAGGACAATGCAGTTATCTCCACTGAGCTATGCAGGGCAGTGAATGGTATTTTGAATGCTCTCAGTCAATGAGCAATGCTTTAGCTCAATGAAAACACACAGCTTCTCGCGTGCAAGAAGACCGGATGCAGCGCGAGTGCTTGGGGAACTCAGGTTAGTTGTAAAAAACTTTTTAACACAGTGGGCTGTAGTGAAAATTGTGCAATGCAATGTTCATTTTGTTGTGCAGTATTCCCAATTACTTTTTTTTGTGTTGTTATGTGTTTCATAAATCTACGGAACTAAAATCATGTTCTCGTTTCGATCGAGTGAGTAGGTAAAGTAGATCAACAGATCCACAGTCTATAGGATAAGTAATTTTAAAATGAATTCTTCACTCATTCAATGTGGCTTTTAGCTTATCTAATTATTTTTTATATCAGGGGCATACATATATTGCTTTTACCGTTAATAAAAGTGCCTAACAATATAACAGAGCTATCTGTAGCAAACCATTATAATGGCTGTGAATTTAGCATATTCATGTAACTAAACAGATGATCTCAACTGTGCTAAAGTATGTGGAATAGTGGGTACTGCGGTTCTCTGAACATGATTAAGGTGCATAGTTATAGGACACACAACTGCTTTTATCCTGCTCCCAAGTGTCCCTATTAAGGAGAGTCATTCACTAATTTGGGCTTAAACCCTCCCTTTCTATTTTAATGCCCCTCTTTTCTGGGAGATCCATATTGTTGGTGTGCCTGAATGTGTAACAGAGCTCTGCAGCAATAAAACTCACAGTAACGTGAGCTGAGAAGGGCTGTCTCCCGTCCGGACATAGTGACCGACATGCTCCATATCTCCAAATCTGAACGCAGCCACTTCACAATCCGAATGTATTAAAAAGGCTGTGACACCCCCACTGTAGCCACTGATAACTGCCGACAAAACCTGCTGCCCATCGGCATCACCTGACAGGCAAAGGCTAGGTGACCCAGGAGAGATTATAGCAACCGAAGCTGCACTTTCCACACGCTTTTTACCTGATCAACCAACGTGACTAGAGTATTACATTTATCTTATGGCAAACGAAAAACCATAACCCCAGGATTTATCTCGATCCTTTAAAAATGAAAGCACTGTAAACAGAGTGACTTTCTGCCACTGACTGGAACAAGTAAAGTAAAACCGCATAGTCATACGATGTGGCTAAACCCACAAACAAGAAACTTTCCAGGTAGTATAATAACAAAGACAACCCAGAGTCTACACACTTAAAAAAAAAGATAAACAGCTCAAAAATAGGCACAGGAAATGGAATAGATAATGGGCAAATATATGTCATAATAAAACAAATTCCCCCAAAAAAACAGCCTAACAAATGAAAATAATCCTGGAAGCAAACAAAACGTGGACTCTTTAGCAGATTTCATATACAAAGCTGAACCCACTGAAGGGCAAGACAAATGATAAATCAGCCGATATGAACCAAATTACACTTTAGGCACCAGTCCCAGCAGTGATACACAGAGATTGACAAATGGATGGTCATCAAATGGACCCACCATTCACCCCAACTCAGCCTCCAAAGCGAACTTCGCTTAAAGTAAATCTTCGTTCCCTATGACTGATTTTAAATTCTGAGCAAAAACCTGAAAGGTCAGAGTGAACAAACGGAATCCAAAACCCAACTGAAAAACAGAACTGCCACGTCTTTAACTTTGGGATACAGATCTAACCACAGCAACATCTTTCGGAAATTCACCAACAACTATAGGTTCCATTCTTGGACACTAAAATCCAGCTATGGGCAAGAAGCCCTCTATTGCCAAAATTGCTGGTCATACTTAAACCATCATTGACCCACATAAACATTGTACTCAGCAACAATTAAATCAAGATAGGAAAACAAGGAAGTGGCTATCTAGTAGTGATATTAGCAAAGATCGTAAAGCCCTGGAGCCAGTTCCCAAACGTTCTAAGGACGTGCTTACCTTTTTCACCATCCACCAACTCACCTCTCCTCAGTCTGTCTACCTTTCTTTTTCCACTGGAATCAGCAACGATAGATCCACATACTCACCCTTCACAATCTTTTCCTTCACCTCCAATGCCATGAGTAGATCCAAAGGGGATAATTAACAGACCGGAGCCCACATCCTGGACGTAACTGACGCAAATGGAAAAAACACAAAATAGTCTCCCTCGGTCTGGTGGATCTCCCCTTGTGGAGTTTCAATGATCATGAGAATTGTGAGGAAACAGCCCAGAACTACATGGGAGGATCTTGTTAATGATCTCAAGGCAGCTGGGACCATAGTCACCAAGAAAACCATTGGTAACATACTACGTCGTGAAGGACTGAAATCCTGCACTGCCTGCAAGGTCACCCTGCTCAAGAAAGCACATGTACAGGCCTGTATGAAGTTTGACAATGAACATCTGAATGATTCAGAGGAGTACTGGGTGAAAGTGTTGTGGTCAGATGAGACCAAAATCTGGCATCTTTGGCATCAACTCATGTTTGGAGGAGGAGGAATGCTGCCTATGACCCCAAGAACACCATCCCACCGTCAAACATGGAGGTGGAAACATTATGCTTTTTGGGGTGTTTTTCTGATAAGGGGACAGGACAACTGCACCACATCAAAGGGATGATGGACGGGGCCATGTACCTTTAAATCTTGGATGAGAACCTTCTTCTCTCAGCCAGGGCATTGAAAATGGGTTGTGGATGGGTATTCCATTTAACACTCATGATCTTCATAGCTGGTTCTCAAACGGTCTTTAAAAAATGAACTTTTCCCCCAAGACTTTAAACATTGATACTTTAGCTTCTGTATAATATAGAACAAAAAAATCTACATTAATAAGTCACATATTTACATGATTAATACGATTAAAGGAACATTATAGCCACCAGAACAACTACAGCTTAATGGTGTTATTCTGGTGTCTATTGCCTGTCCCTGTAGGCATTTAATGTAAACACTGCCATTTAGAGAAAAGGCAGTGTTTACATTACTGCCTAGGTACAACTCTAGAGGCAATCAATCGGATAGCTAATAGAGGTGCTTCCTGTGTCAGTGCTGCACAATGTGCAAAGCTGATGTTCAGCATCTCCATGATCTGCAGGCACTGAATGGTCCTCATAGA